ATATCATCTTTTTTCTTACCTTTCCTACTCTTGGAACAAATATTTGTAGCCCTTTTGTCAATAAGAGCCTATTTTCCACTCACAAATACTTGGAATTCTAGCTCTCCATTAATTTTATAATGGCAACGGCCTAGGGGTCTTGTTTCAAGTTCTCTTCAATACGGTTGTGAACGTCCATAGTCATTATACATGTTGTCATCGAAGCTATCAATCTGAAAGTTACAAATTCGACTTTTCTATTGAAAGCATCTGCCATTTGATTAGCCTTTTCAGCTTTATGCTCAAAGTAAAAATCAAACTTTGTCAAAAACTTTTACCTTCTGGCCTATTTAGCCATGAGTTTCGGTTTTGTGAGGAAGTGACTAACTATGATGTTATCTGTTTTAAGCATGAATTGAGACTATAACAAGTAGTGCCATTACGCCTATAAACAATAAATTACTGCTAAGATTTCATTTTCCTACGTTATGTTTCTCTACTTAACTTCATTCAACTTTCTACTTTCGAATGCAATCGGGTGTCCTTTTAGCAATAATACTCCTCCAATAACAAAATCCGATGCATCTATTTATACCTCAAAAGGTTTTCCAATATTCAAGAGCACTAAGACAAAGCCTGTCATTATCACTTCCTTTAAGTCTTCGAAAGCTTATTGACGTTTAGGTGTCCAACTCCACTTTTTTGCATTCTTTAACTATTTCGTGAGTACTGCCATCCTTTTCGAATATCCTTCCACAAATCTTCAATAGTGGTTGTCTAGCCCCAAGAATGAATAGAGTTCAGCTGTATTCTTAGGAGTTGCCCACTCCTCAATGGCTTTCTTTTGCTACATATCCATCTAAATGTGACTTTGCTTAATAATATAGCCTAGAAGTTGAATTCGAGTTTCAACAAATGCACACCTCTCTCTTTTCACATATAACTGACTGTCCCGTAACCTTTGAAATACTTGTCGTAAATGCTCTTAATGTTCTTCTAACGTTAAACTATACACCACAATGTCATCCAAGTATATGACCACGAACTTGTCCAAATAATCATGGATAACCTGATTCATCAATGTGCAAAATGTGGAATGAGAATTGGTTTGTCCAAAAGGCATAATAAGAAATTTAAATGCACCATACTACGTTATGGAAGTGGTCTTTGGTTCATCTCCATTGGCAACTCCTATTTGATGGTATCTATACTTGAAGCCTAATTTGGAGAAATACTTTGTACGACTCAGTTGGTTGAAGAGGTCTGTTATAAGAGGAATGAGATATTTGTTTTTTACTATGACTTTGTTCAGAGCTTGATAGTCTACACATAACCGTAAACTCCCATCTTGATTTTTTTGGAATAATATCGAGGCCTCAAAAAGTGCTTTTGAGGGTTTAATGAATCTAACTTGTATCAACTTGTTTGGGATAGCCACCTTGTTCAACCTTTTTACCGGAAGCTTGACTCTTGGAATTAGTTCTATCTCATGATCAACTGCTTGTCGAGGTGATAATACCTTAGGTGGTTGTTTTGACATCATATTCTTAAATTCTTTTAAAACCAACTTCACTCTCATAGGTATTGGGTCAGTGTTATCTCCACCTTTGTAAATGGGCATGGCCATATAGGAAGGTTTCCCTTTTTAATCCTCTTTTGAAGCTAGATAGTTGATATGATTTTTATTCCACTCCTAGGTACGATTGTAACAGATACAATACATGGTTGTTCCCTAAAAAATATTAAATAACTATCAGTAGAAAGTGGAATGGTTTATGCTTTAGTCATGAAGTTTAAGCCAAGAACAACATCAAAGTCATCTATAGTGGCAACTATGAAGTTTATGCCTCCTTTTCAAGAGTTGATCTTTGTCCTCACATCTTTAGAGTTCCCAATAATAATTGAGGCTGGTGAGTTGATTACTTTCATTTGCCCAAAATCTTTCTTAACCTTGAGACCACTCCTTTTGGCCTCTCCCATGATGATGAAGGTGCTTGAGGCTTCCGTGCTGAGCATAACTTTGGTCATTTTCCATTCAACACTATATCCACATAGATGAAACCTTATTGGAGCTCCTTTTTCATCTTGTCCAATTGCACTTGGAGGGTGTTAAGGAAATGATTTGAACTTATTTGTGTCAGCTCTTCCTCGACTTCCTTAATGGGGGGTAGGGTTAAGTTGTCTCGAGATTAGTTGTACATATTGCATTCAGGGCAGCTCGATGTGGGCATTCGATTACTAAATGAGGTTCATTGCAGAGAAAATAAGATACAAGGAGTTGTGGTTTGAAGCTTCATGACCTATTTGTCCTTGGTTGGGGAGTGTTTTTAATGGGTGGTCTCCTTTCACCTCCTTTATTTGAGAGTCTACTAACTTTGGCAAATTTCACCCTATTGTTAGAGTTAGAGCTATTTTTCCTTAATGGAGAGTCTTTTCTCTTATTTAAGCTATCACTATAATCAGTAAGATGTTCAACAATTTCCCTCGCCGAAATCACGCCCTGCACCTTCTATCATTGTAATTTTATCCTAGCCCATGGTTTTAGACTTTCTAGAAAATAGAACTTGTCCTTTTCGGTCATCTCCCTAATACGCCACCTTGTCTTCTTTTGACTTTACGTGGACAACTTGGAAGTACTAGTCTATATCAAAAAGAAAGTTCTCTAAGTTTTTCGCATCTCTAGCCTTTTCATAACTTTTGGGCTCAGGCACTTTGGCTTTTTTCCTTTATCTCCTAAGTTTGCATTGGTATTACTTGCAACAATCACTAAAAGATTTACCTGAGCTTTTAATTCTCTAAACTTACCTTGGAGAGTACTCACTATATCACTGGTCTCATCACTCAAGTTATTTATTATATTAGACAGATTCTGTTAGGTTAATTTAATCTTGCTTATTCATTTAAGCAGGATCATTTGAGGCTTTACCGTAACCATCGTAGCCTCTAGCTCCTTAATTTTTTTATGGTCCTTTGGTGTGCTTCATGTTGTCACCATGCTTGCTTTTTTGCTTAGCACATCTCGCCAATACTTTGATACCAATTGTCATGGACTAGGCCCTTTTTACTTAAGTACACAATAGCCTAGACAACGCTTAGGTGGACGCATCAACATAAGCCAGCCAAAAACTCGATTATATTTGAGTAAACCACATTTATAGCCATGAGTTAGTTTACACAATGCAATAGCAAAATCATAGGGCATAGTGAATGTCATATACGCAACTACTAGTTCCACATAAAAGAAAAATATTTTATTAATATTGAAAAAAGGTTCAAAGGGCCTGAGAGTGCAACCGTGCCATTGTTGGGCCATAGGGGTAGCCTTAGATAGTTAGCCATAAACAAAGTTTAACTAGTGAGACAACCCAATAATCCACCAATTACTCAACCCCTATAAAGAGCCAATGAACTTTTACACCAAAGCCACCAAGAACCATTACAAGGCGTGAAATGGGGACATTCCTTCCCCCAAGGGTCTTCCTTGTAAAGTCTTAAGTTTTTATAAGTATGCTACTAAGTACCATTATGTTATTTGAAATGTAGACATTTCCTCTTAAGGCAACTTAGTTTCTTAGATAGTTCTACCCCATTATGGCCTTATATAAAGGTTGGCTCATGATACTTGGCCATCAAAAATACTAAAACAGTTTAGTTGTCACACATATAATATTCGCTTGCAAGCCAAAGTTGTGAAGGACGAACAATCATCTCGAATGGATAAAAAGGGGAAAGGTTAGGATGAAATGAGATATTGATCGGTCAAGATGATGGAGTTAATGATGAGCACGAACTCTTGCTTAAAAGAGTTACCAACCTTAAGAAAATACTAATGTAAGAGAAGAATTACCATATCCATTGAAATTTACTCTAAATTTTATTTTGAGTGACATAAACTCAAAGTCCAATAAAATATAGAGCTGGAAGAGTTAAGAATGATATCTACGTTACTTGTAAGAATATTAAGGCATATTATCTAAAAAAGCCTCTAAACTATTTAGAAAATTTTAAATAAGTTCTTATATTTTTATTGCGTTCAATCAAGCTTTTATACTTTTATTTTGAGTCAAACAAACTTTTATAATTTATGATCAATTTAAGCAAAATGTCATTGATCATTCTATATTTATGCGGCATTAACGTGGCATACTAACATATAATAATTGATGATGATGTGTTATATTGACATATCATAATTAATGAAAATATGACATGCTAATTTAACATGATAATATGACCATATGGTATTTGTCACCTTCTACATCAATATCTTGTTAGTGTCCTGCATATATAAAATAACAAGTGACATTTTAATTAATAGTTATTATTTAATTATTATAAGAGTTGATTTGACTTAAAATAAAAATATAAAGACTTGATTGAATGCAATGAAAGAATAAAGGTTTATTTAAATTGTTAAAAATAGTTTAAAGACTTATTTAAGCATTATGTCACATATTAATAACATAAACATAAAAGTAAGATCAAACCAATGTATTCACTCCATTCCAGTTGGGTATACTTTGCTCCTTTTCTAACATGCATTAAATATTTTCTTTTAATTCATATCAAGCTCAAATTCATTATTGTTGCAAGCTAAAACAAGGAGTAAAAGTGCAATGCCTTCATTAAATTCGGTAGGCTTTTTAGGTATGTCCAAAAATCTCATCACATTTTGATCAATCACTAATAGGAAAGAGAAATGTTACAGCTCAAAGAAAAATGCTCTCGAAAACAAGTGTACACATTGTGAAAATGAACCCCGATAGACTGATGGTGTTTGCAAATATTATCGTTTTTTAACACACGCTCTCCCTTATGAAGCACGAACACGCCAAATCTTGAGAAATCGACGTCGTTTTCCAACATACGCTGTCCCCTTTGAACGCCAATATGCCACAGGGCTCCCTCATACGCGACGGTTCCAATTTCGTTACCTGGGCTTTGCAAGGGAAAGCCCAGACAAAATTTTGGGCAAATGGCGGGAGCCCACTTCCCTTTTCCCTTACTTTTCCCTCTTCGATAACTTCACTTCTCCCTCAATCCCCCTCTCTTTTCTCACTGCCGTTGCCGTTGCCAGCGGCGCTAGGTTCTCCCTCATCTTTAATTTCCTATAGTTTTTGCTCCTAAAACCCCAAAACTCCTCCCTTTCCTAAAAATCTGATCATCAATTTAAAAGCATTAGAATTATGAAAATCTGATTCCTCAAGCTGGCATGGCTTCGGTTAGGAGTTTTACGTGATCATACTACATTGACTATCCCATTCTGACCCTTGCTTTAATTTCTCTCTCAGTCTCAGTGCGTTCCGGTGAACCGACAAAGCCAATGGGGAAAGAAAAAGAGAAAGAAAATCCTTCACAGAAAGCCCTAAATCTCCTTCGAACTCGACTCTCTAACCCTAATTTCGTCTTCAAACCCCTCTCCGATTCTCCTGACAGCAACTACAGGTCCCTTGTCTTTCTTCCTCTCATTTTCTCAGCTTCCATTTTCGGAAATGCTCGCTTAAATAAATAGTAGTATTACCCCCCCTTTTTAATTTCTCTCTTTTTCTTTTGTTTCAATTTTTATTTTGCAGCAAGTTAAAGTTTATAATATCGAGTTCAGTCACTGAAGCATGCAACAATTCGATTCTGCTTCTTGGTCCTCGTGGTTCGGGGAAAGCCGCGGTAAGCCATCATCTTTGATTAAGCTTTTCTTCTGCTTCTTCCCTGCATTGTTTTACAGAACATGTTTTTCTAAAAAAATTTATTTGTAAACTTTTTAGACTTCTTCCTGTGTTGTTAGGTTTTGGAACTTGTTCTCAGCGATCTTTTACAACAATATCCTGAAGCAATATCTGTGGTATGGCTGTGCTCCTTAATTTCTTAGTTTACTTTCTTTTTTTTTTTGGTTTTAGGAAGGAATGTTCTTGAGGCTGTCATAGTAATGAAAAGGATAAAATTTTAAATTGATCTAGTCTGTTAGAAAATGAGGAAATACATTCTGAAGAGTTTGACTTGACATATTTATGTTTTGGATATTGCTTGGAATTTGGACTTAATTGAATGTGTTTGTTTGTGAAACTAATCCTCCAGTTCAAATTTTGAGGAAGCGAGGAAGGAGAGAGAATTTTTGTGGGTAGAATAAGTGTCTTTGGTACAGGTCAAATAAATGCAAGTTGTTCATGTACCTGGTGCTTTGACTATATACATCATATAAGGATTTTCATTTCCATGAAAGGGTTATGTGTGTCAATTGTGATAGCGTGTGTGCTTGTGTGTTTATGTATAGTATACTGCCAACCCGGTGAGTTATTATCTACTCTTGTTGTAGCGTGCTTTAAAGTGTTATAAAGACACAATGCTTTGATATTCATTGAAATTGTGCTCTCATCTTATCTTATCGTCGGCTTCATGGTGCAGATAAGATTGAATGGCCTTTTGCATAGTGATGACAATTGTGCACTAAAGGTGAATATCTCATAATTTTCCTCCTCCCACATTATTCTCTGTCATATTGGATTACTTGATCTTGAATTCATAACTACCAAATTTTGCTTGTTATGCAAGTTTAACTTGTGCTATTTGGTATGATTTTATGTCTTGCTACACTTGATTTCGTGCACAACATATACTGTCATATATAGTATAATTGCTGGTCGAATAAACTGCATACCCTGTTAAAGACAGATAGAGAGTAAATTGCACCAGTAGTTCCCAAAGTTTGGGTCACATATCATATTAGTCCCTCCAAAAGTCACATATATTACTTCCACCCTTATAATTAAAAGGTCCTGTCATTAGTGTTTCTATCAACTCAGTTATTCCAATGTGTATAAAAATTCTTAGTTGGGGAAAAAATTCCCAATTTTGCTTTGGACTTGAATGGTATTTTTGAAATTGTTTTGGACAAATTTCAGGTTTGTGGGTTGATTTTGGGGTTATTTGTGGCATTTTAAACTGGTTTTTTGGATTATTTTTAACAATTAATTTCTTTTTATAAGAATTTTGGCAGAGAGAAGGAATTTGTAAGAGAATGAGCAGAGTGGGGAGAAGAATGGAGAGATGTGGTCATTGGATTCCAGTGTTTTTAGATGGTGGATAGGGCTGGATTAGCCTCCCCCTCACAGCAGATTGAGGGGAGTGGGGTGGGGCCAGCCCGATCTCTCCCCGTACCATGTCTAGCAATGCTAGGAGGTGCCTTGCTCCAGTTACCTGGCATTGGAACTGGGAGGTCCAATTTGGCCCTTCCCAGTGGTTGGTTGGCCTCTGGTTGGTGGGAACAAAGGGAGAGGAAAGAGAAGAAAGAGGAAAAAAACTTATAAATTTTATTAAAATATAAATATAAATTATAATATTAAAAGATTATCATCCATTTGCTATTAATATTAGTTATTGTAAGATATTATTTATAGTAACATTTTTCATAAAATCAATTTAAATTATAAAATTAAAATCTTACTTTTTTTTCCCCTAAAATAGAGGCCTATCGTGCCTCACTAATGATCCTGGTTGCCACTAGGCGATGCAGAGGTTGGCAAATAAATATTTTTCAACAAAGCAATTTTTGTACACACCAACTGACACATGGCAGACACATGTTGCTAGCTGGCACTCAACAGTTGAGTTGACAGAAGAACATTTTAGTTATAATGTTAGAAGGATAGGGACGAATATTTGACTTTTTGAATTGCGAGGACCTATATGATATGTGACTCAACCTTTGGGGACTCTGGCTGTAATTTACTCATAGATACATGTTTGACAGTTGTTTGCACAAATTTATCGGAGTCGAGATATTCTTACAACAATTCTCCTATATGAATGGCGGAATTACTGAAACAGCAGATGGATCCTTCGTTGTTACTTTTGGAGGCAACGACGAGAAGTCAGTTCAAATCATTAGCAAGTTTGTGCATAAGCAATAATACAACTCTCTGTATCTAAAGGTACATCTGATGGAAATTATAATGGCCTAGACTTTAACTAATCATAAAACATCAAAGAAATATAATAGGAAATGTTCACATAGTGACTGATTGATGAGTGACTCAAATAAGTTCTGAGAATAGACGAACTACTCATAATTGGAAAATTACTGGGTCTGGTCTTATGCTGGCTAGGAAGATAAAATTACTAGCTAAGCGATGTTTCTTTTCTATACATCTTTACACATAATCTTCCAAGTTCTCATTAACATTATTAAATGTATTTTTTGTTCAAAAACAATATTCTTCTTTGTCTCTTACCGATCAAATAGTTTGTCTTAAAATTATCATGGTCATGCCCTTTTTTATATTTGTCATGGTTATCTGTCTTTCAGGAAATTGCTCGACAGTTATGCAAGGAGCATCAACTTTTGTTCTCAAAAGTGGTACTGTGGATATCGATTTGAGGTCACTATGATGCATTTCTAATAAAATTGATATACTGATTATGAGATGATTTCTGTAGGCATCATTTGATGATAACTCCCAGTTCTTAATAGCAATGTTAAGGTGAGTTTACCAGGTTTGTCTGATTTTTTTTCTTTTAAAGAATATATTTTAAAAATCTTTAAAACTGATAGCATTCATCATTGTCAGGGAATGTGGATTGGCACATAAAACAATTATTTTTATGCTTGATGAGTTTGATCTGTTTACTCAGGTAAGGATCTTCCATTTTGTTTATTTCATAATATGCCATGTAAAAGCTCTCTTTTTGTTAAGCGTGTGGGCCATACAGAACATACTAGCGATTGCTTGTAGGAAAAAGTTAGGTTTGAAATCTTTGAACCAAGAGATTAAACAGTTTTTTTTACCTTTTTCCAATTGATTTTTGCAGGGAAAACAAAGATTACTTTATAGCTTGCTAGATGCAATGCAGTCCGTGACATCACAAGCTGTTGTCATTGGTGTGAGCTGTCGACTGGTATGTTTAAAATGTTTTTATTTATTTTTTCTTGTTTACAGCATTTATGATAATAAAAAGAATAAATTACACTCAAGTACTTAAGTTTTGACTCTAAATACACTCAAGGATACTGTGAAAAATTTACATCCCACTCCATGGAAGCAAACGGCGTTAACAGTAATTGTAGACTGACTAAAACACCCTTATCCATATTATCTTAAAACAGGAAAAAAAGGTAATTAATGATGAAAATTATTTTTTTAGAAATATGAAAAATCATATTTAAATGCAAATAAAATATCTAAATAAAATTATAAGCTAATAATGCTTTTCAAAAATTATTACCAACCAAATAATAACCGGAAAACCACTATCAAGTTTCAACAATTCATTATTTATTTCTTGTAAAGGAAACACAAGCCATCCTTTTTTTTCAAAAGAAAAAGAAAAACAGGATGGTTTGATTGGCTGACTAATTGCTTAACTCTCATTTCATTTCTTTCTAATCTGCTGAACTATGAGTGGAGATGTACCTAGAGCTTTTTCCTTGTTTCCTTATGAAAAAGCTCAAATCAGTATCAAACCTACAAATGAATAAATGCAAATGAAATTATTATCATTGGACTCTCATAACATTGGGGTGGGATGTGTATATCTCAAACTAATATCCTTGAGTGTATTAGTGTCAAAATTCAAGGATTTGAGTGCAATTTACTCTGATAAAAAAATATGCATATCATTGTGTTATGTGCCACAGCTTGAAATTTTATCTGATGATATTAGTATTTTATCTTCGAGCAATCTTTCTTTTTGATGAATAAATTCTTGAAATATTTCAGACTTACCTCTGTCTTATTAATTGTTTTTAGGTTGTAGTTATCAATCATTTTGGTTAATGCTGTCTAGTATGAGGATAGCATTCTATAGATTTACTAAGCATTACTTATACAATCAGAGTTGAATTTCAATAAAACACTAGGAGTCAGAGTTCCCATGAAGAACTCATTTTGTTGCCATTGTTTCTATCTTCTTGACTTTTCTTTGGTTTCCAGCTAACTACCTCCAATAACTTCAGTCAAGAGAGGCCGAGGCAATGGTTGTGAGTGAGGACAAGTGGCTACTGGCTTGACAAATAAAACATGATTGTCTTCAACACATAATTAGTCTTAAAAGCAATCAAATTTTGTTCCTTAAATCATTATCCTTAAAGTTGACACTGAAATAACTAGTATAAAGTTTGAAAATAAATGGAAAAGACTGCCAGGTGGCTCTGTGACTCAAAAGTATGGAACTGATATTCAAGAAGCTGATTTGCCACCAAATATTTGGAAAATTGTTCTTTCATATAGCTACAAATTCAAATATTGGGTAAGTTTGGGAAACTGTCATGAATGTGAGCATTCAAGGATGGTTCCCGAAGAATATAGGAGGTTTTAGAATCAGTGAAGCTTGGGAGTTGGGAGTGCACTAGACAGAAAGCTACTCAGCCTCAGTGCTGCTAGATGGTATGCTTCAAAAACTATATGCCAAAGAATTTTTTTTTGTTTTATTGTTGGCTGCTAATGGAAACTTCAAACAAAGGATTTATTGTTGGAGAGGTAGACTTCAGACATCTCAAATTTTTTCTCTTACAATCACCAAGAAAATTTGAATTATCTGTTTTTGACTTCCCTCTTTATTGCTAAAATTTGGAAAGCCATGCTAAGGGACTGCAATATTGATCAAAAAGCACTTCCTTGAAGCCAAAAACCAAGTGGTCTTATAACAAATTAAATCACATTATCAGGAAGAGCACTTTATTACTTCTGTTTATCCCATCTGGATAGAACGCAATTGTAGAATCTTTGAAGTAAAGTTCTCGAGAAGAACGAAGCCTTCTGAGAAGAATTTGAGAAGATAATAAAATTGAATTCATAGCTATGTCCACCAGTTTGATGTTGAGAAAATTGTAAATTGTTTACCTTTCTCTTTTTGTTTGTTGCTCATGTGTTTACTTAGTTTGTTCCTATCATGATGTTTTCTCTTTTGCAATTCTTATTTTGCAGAGTTTTATATAAAATTTTTTTTGACTTACCCAAAAAAAAAAAATAGAAAACTGATGCCTAGCTTCTTTGTGTGGATTGAGTACATAAACATGCAATTTGCATAACTATGATTTATTTACTTTTTTAGAGCCCTTAAAATTTAATACATGTCATGTAGGATGTTGACCAGCTTCTTGAAAAAAGAGTGAGATCTCGTTTTTCACACAGAAAGCTGCTGTTTCTTCCTCCATCTAAAGAAGACACAGAAAGGTGGTTTTTCTATTGCCTAAAGATGGAGATCATGTGACTTATGTTTAAGAAAGGACAACCTTATCTGTTGCCCATTTGGCTTTGCAGATTCTTGGAGCACATTTTATCATTGCCTGAGGATTCAAGCCTTCCCCACAGCTACACTGCTGAATTTAATGGAAGGCTTAAAGTATCCTTTCCCTGAAACCTTTGCTTAATGGGATGATTGATAACAGTAGATTATAGCCATTTAAAGGGGGGAAAAGCTTCATGATTGAATGTACTTTTAAGGGTTGCCTGGAACTGCGTTTAAGAAGTCTCAAGTGGCTGTTAGGGTATAATTTTGATGACCTTCTAAGTTGCCTTAATTTAAGTTTAAACTGAATGGTAAGGATAATGCAAGCTCATGGTTCATTCTTATGGGCTTCATAAAATATATCCAGAACTATTGGGATGAATATATAAATGAAATGGTTTTATGGTATACGACTTATGGAGACTGAGCATATGAAGATACGTGTATATTTGATTGTCAAATAGAATAATATATAATAAACAGACCATCCTTCCATTCTTTGTATTTTTCCACATAAACTCAACTGCTCTTCAAAGTATAGCACTTCATTGTGTTCTTGTTTCTAGCTTTGAGTTGCAATTCAAAGTATAATATTAATGCTAGCATTGTCAATTATCAACATAATCAAGTTTTATAGGAGTTATTATTGCTGTTGATTTACCTCAGATGGTGGAATGTACTGCACGAGTTTCCAGGGAACATGCAATTCCTTTGTTACAATAATTTTGGTAACGATTATGGGCTGAATGCTAGCCTAGAACTATGGAGATTGACTAAGAGCCAAAAGGGTTTTAATATCAGCAAGCTGGAGATACAAAAGTGATTGCAATCTTGGTAACTAATATGCCAACTTTTTTCCAGCTTTTCTTTCCCTCAAAATTATTGCATTGCTTATAAAGCTTGAGTTGTATAGATCCAATTCTTCATATTGCTATCTTATGAGTTTTAGGAGCAGATGAGCTCTCTCTTCTTCTTTCTTATTTTCCTTTTCTCCCTTTCCTATGTTGTAACTCTCTCATTTCAGTCTTTCCATAAACTAAACAAGATTGCATTCACACTAGTCATCAACAACTGTGACACACTATTGTCTGACTAATTTTATTGGCTTTGTTTTATATTTTATATGTACAAAAACAGGTCTCCAAAAAGTAAGGGGTAAGGCTGCATAGATATGACCTTGCTATGCAGAGCCTCGTGCATTTAGGCTGCCCTCTGGCATATATGTAAATATTCTGCTTCTCAACCCAAACTTAATCATAAATTTTATTGAAAGAAATTGTGATTAATATAGATACGGCCTTGGCAACTAAGTTTTGACCCATCCAAGAAGCCTCTTTATGTGTGTGTGTGTGTCTTGTGCCGGGTGGTGTGCGCAGGGGTTATTGCTTTCTGCATTTGCAAAAGCCAAAGATAATGAAAAGCATACATTAAATGATCATGCATTCTTAAAATTTATTGAGATTATGTTTTTTCTTACTTGTATGTTTCCAAGGATCTTTTCTTCCAGAGTGGGTATGAATTCCTTGACATCTTACAGAATGTTTTAGCAGATGAGAGATTCAAAGAACTAATTAATACCTATTTGAGTTTCAATTCCACAATTGGTCAATTGGTGAGGTTTCTGTAAGTTTCTCTTCTTGCGTCTGGGACTATAGAATGTTATATAAATGTCAGCTATTACAATTACAACATATAATGATCCAAAAAAAATTACAATGTTTTATAATCAAATTCTATGATCATCAAATTGATTCTAGATTTCAAGCTGTTTCTTATATGGATCTGGATGTTGGATTCCTTTCACTTGAGAATTTCAAAACTGCACTTTCCAGCACTCAGCGGCAGCCAAAGTCAGAATGTATAAAAGGTATGAGGACTTAAATAGTCTTTCCTCTATATTGGTGTGGTGTTTTGTTTTGTTTACATGTTTTGAATATTTAATACCTCTTCACATATATGACGTGAGCTTAATTATTATGATGTGAGCTTAATTCCTCCCCAAGAGTAGTATGCTTTGTTGTAATACCTCTTCACGTATATGATGTGAGCTTAATTATTAAGACCCGTATGATATAAGGTTCCAAGTCAATCACTACTAGCAACTTGAGTTTAAGCTTTTGAGAGTGGTGTGGTTTAAGTTTGAAAAGTTATTAGGCCAATTGTGCTTGGGCTCGAGTTGTTACAATTGGTATCAAAGCGTGTGCCAACACGGTGTGGGTTTTCACATTTTGCTACTGAGATTTGGTTCTGTGGACCTGGCCTTGATTGTGATTATGTTGTATGGTCTTAATGAGGACATCAAAGAGTTGAATGGGTGAGATTGTAATACCTCATCCCACATCTAAAGTGAGTGTGATTATTAAAAACAATATAAGGGTTCAAGTCAAGCACTGTTAGCAACTTGAGTTTAAGCTTTTTGAAGGTTGCATGGTTTAAACTTGAAAAGTTAAAAGGCCAATGGTGCTTTGGCGAGGTTGTTACTGGTGTAAGGTCAAAATTGTCTCCTTTCTGTTTCTTAAAGTTATGCCAATCTGGAGTAAAGTATAGTCTTTGTCTACTGAAACTCAAACATGTGGCGTTTTGCACTCTGGCTATCTTCTCATTAGATTTTTAACTTGTGTTTGGGTGCATGAACATGAGATTCTAGTTTGAATTCTGCCTCTTTCACTTCTTGTTGACTCATGTTTGAGAAAGTTTGAAGCGAACTGCCATGGGGCACAAAAGCTTCACCTTGAACTTCTAGCCTTTTTTTTTTTAGCTAAAATTTCTAACTTCTAGCTTGGTGTTTCCCTGGTTGATATTTATATTTAGATGTTCAAAGAACACACTATCTTATAAAATAAATAGTCTTTGGAAGTCCTAATGGTTCAACTCCCTCTGGGTACTTTGTTTCAGACTGATGGTTTTCAGCAGAGTGTTGTTGGAAACTGTTATGATTTCATTAAATTTTTTTATTGTACTAATTCACCTTTAAAGTTTTAGCTACCTGGTTGATTGTCTGACAGCATTGTAGAGTATTGATGGTTGTTGGCAGACTGTTGTTGCAAAATTCTATGATATTTGTAAATCTGTGGTTGTAGTCATCTTTAAATTTTAGTTGATGATTTGAATTTCTGACATTTGACACAAGATCTTAAGAAGTTTAAAAACGATGCCACTTCTTCATGCATGTTCAGTGGCAAAATCATGATAAGATGATAAATTATTCAACTTTGATTTATTTAATTTTGTTGGAAGCATGACGATCTTGAGTGCACATTCAACTTTTTTAAGCAGATTGCTCCATATTGGAACTCTATCTGTTAGTATGCATGAAAAGGTTGGAAGTGAAGGAGCAGAACTCGTATAACTTCAATTCAGTTATGACAGGTTCATTTCACTTGTTTCGGTGTTATTTTTCAATTACTATCATTAAGATGTTATTTACTTACACATATTTCATGTGTCAGAATACAAGAGCATGCATGAGTTCCAGACATCTGACAATTACGCAGGAAATGTTTGTCTAAGGGTGTGTATGGTTCTATATGGAAGGCAAAATGTATTACTGCAATTTGGTATTCCGTCCACTTAGTCTCATGCCATGTGTTTGATGAGGTTTCACTCTGATTTTTGCAGGCATTTGAACACCTTCTACAACGTGAATTAATTAGTTTTACAGACAATAGAGGACATAATCAATCTGTTGAATTTCGCCCTGTAAAGCTTCTAATTTCACCGGCTGAACTGCATCAGGGGCTGAAGTCATATCGTTCATGTCCTGTAAGTTACTCTCATAACATTTATTACATAAAGTGTATCATGTTTTCCGTCAACCATGGTTGGACCTGCTAGAACTCACTTGGAGCATCGTGACTTATGCATTTGGCTTCTGTTTTTGCAACATTTTACTTTCTGCAATGCCTTGAAAATTCATTGACTGTTTCAAAGTTTGTGATCAGGGTGCTCTGATTGTTTTGTAGGCCATCCTCCTTAAATTAATTGCGCGGTAAAACTTGAAAGTAACATGGTTGAGGGGAAATATTGGCTGCCTATTAACTGCCCCAGGTGTACGGTCAAAAGAAATATGGAATCTCCCCTCTGCCGCATTTTGATGGGTCAATTCCACCATTTCTTCTTAGATATAAAAGAAATACTTTTCTACTGGCCAAGATGAACTTCATGTGTGAAGGATGTCACACTTTTGAAATCTTTCCTTTCTCTTCTATTGCAATCCAATGTTAATTATTACGACTGCATCTAGATTAATAACATCAAATTGTTTGTCCTCCACCTTTTGTGTCCTTTATATTCATGAGCATTGAGTATTTTCTTACTGAAGCACTTGGTGAGGATTGTGTTTTTACATTTTTTGTAATGCATCTAATTAAATTATATTACAGTATTTGTTTTGTAATAAATCAATGCAACATGAGATAATGTAATTGCACTAAACAAAGAAGTAATGTTATCAAATTTAATTTGATATTTTTGTCTTCATTTTAAAAAAATGATTAAAATTTTCTTTCAACATATCTTTCGTGTTTTGACATTTTCTAGTATTGTAAATAGATAAAAAAAGTTTTGTATGATGAATTAATATAATAATTTTTTGATGGATTTAAATATATTGATAATAAATATAATCAAGTATAACAATTACAATTCATATAAAAAAAATCGACAAATCAATCAATAGAATTGCAAATCTTAACTTTTATCATTTTAAGAATTTAAAAAATTAAAAATAATTTTAAATTTTTGAAAAAAAATCTATAAATTTTCGAAAACATGAATATAATTTTTGTTATTTTTAAAAATTCAAAAAAAAGGAGAAAGCCTGAAAATTATTTTTAATTGTTTAAAAAAACTCCTAGAACGATAAGAAATAAAAATAATTTTTCTTTTTAAGAAATTATAAAATATTATAAAACCCATCAAACAAAAAAATATATAGAATTTTTGAAAAAATAGAAGATATTCATTTTTATGCTCATAAGTTTTAAAATTATAAAATTATTTCCACTTTATAATATTTTAATAAACTTTTAAAAATAAAAAATACTTCTCTTTTACTTTCAGATTTTTTTTTCAAAAAATCTCTTTTTGATTTTTTTTTATTTTTTCCAAAAAATAATCATTTCCATTTTTTATTTTTTAGGAATTTGTCAAAATAATAATAACAATATATTTTAAAATTTTCAAAATTACTAACAAAATAAAAAATTTATTTTCTAATTAATATTAACATGGATTTGCAGGATTCTTGGTTATTTGTTAAAAATTTTATTTAAGAGATGATATCATATAAAACTTTACAATAAAAAATATAAAAGTATATTAAACTTGCATTTTAATACATAAATGTAATCCTAGAAATTAACATTATATTTTTAGTAAAGTACTTATAAACCAAACGATATAATATTATTATTTTTTTAACATTTTAATTATCACTTTATTTAATATACCAAACGCTGTAATGTTGTATTATTTGTAATCATTTTCCTTACAATCATATTTTTTGTATTTATATTCTTTATAACGTGATTACATTGTAAGACACCAAATATAAAAATATGAGTCTAGATTTTGCCACTTGTTCAAGCTCGGAAGTTGCACCTAATATTGGCATTTGATTAATACCTTATATGCTATGTTTATTAAACAATATCAATTGTGGGTTTAATGCTTTTAGGTTCAAAAATAGTGCCTTGTTATTTAGGTGGAATATTAATATAGTAACATTTTACACTTTTAGGTCCAAAAAATAGTGTTGTGTTATTTAAATGTGAATAACATATGGATATTATATGTCCAAATGCCTTGCTTTTTCATAGAATTTTCATCTAGAGAGTTCAGGATCCTTTGCTGTCTTGTAGGGATTGATCATTTTTATCTAGAGAAAATCCATCAATTATTCTTGAACAAGTACGCAGAAAATGATAGAGGAAATTAGATGAAAAAATTGCAAAATATTATTGTTTTATACCATAGTTTTCTATTATTGTTTTAAAACTTTTATAATTTCTTGCCTTTATTTTTTTTTTCAATTATGCCCAAGTTTGGTTTTGAAAAATAAGGCCATTCGGAGACAGTTTGAAACAATAATCCATCTCAAGGGCTACAAAGAAATTTTATATTAGAATATTTGTGGATTTGAGTTAGGCTAAACCCATTAGATTGCAGTAACTTGGACACCAAAAAATTTGATGGGTAAATTTGTGCTAAATTCATATAGCTTCTGATCCCTTGTTGTCTTCAATCCTTAATAAAGGGAAGATTGATCCTTATAGTTATGTTTGTGAAAGTTTAAGTGTTTCGAGTCCATTTTCTTGTGAAATCACTTGAGCATTTTAAAATAAAATAATTTGAAGAGTTAATTAAGCAATTTTGATCATTTGATTTTATCATTTTAAAACGATGATGTTTAACACTTTTAGTTTTTAAAAAAGTGCATCGTTATTTAAGTGTAAATAATTGATGGAATATTAACATGAAGTCGTTTAACACTTTTAGGTCCAAAAAACTATGCCTTGTTATTTAGGTGTAAATAAATGATGGAATATTACTATGATAACGTTTCACCCTTTTAGGTCCAAAAAAGAGTGCTTTGTTTTTTAGATGTAAATAGGATATGGATATTATATGTCCAAAAAATAATGCTTTGCTTTACCATAGGATTTTCTGTTAGTAAATGCCTTTGAGTCAATTGAATTAGTCAAAGAATATATATTGTCATTTAATACATATGTAATTGTATAATTGTATGTGATAGAGGTTTTTCTTTATGTTAATGCAATAATAAAGAGTTATTAAATACTAATTGGATAAAGCTCGTGGAACATAAAAGTCTTGCAAGAGAATTGTAAAATTATTCAATTATGAGATCACTATGCATCAAAGCCATGTTCCTAATATTGTTCTTGGTCATTGTATTGTCAAGATAGGGTATTAACAATGCTCAAAGATTGATACATGTTAAGCCTTTTTACTTGAGAAGTAAGCAATCGATCTCATAGATTGAGGTATATGATATACTTGAGGATAACAAGTAGGTGCTTGTTAAAGAACAAGTTCACTGAACATGGCTCACTATGAGAACTCCATTTGGTATTTCACTCAAGTGTCTATGGAATATGTTCTCATGTGATAGTCGTGCAACTAGTCCTCAGACTTGCGATAGCAAGTCATCTTGTATAGGGAATGACATACTTTGATTTCACCTCTACAAGTTTAGAAGTGACCAGATGTCTAAACAGGATATTTTTAGGTATGCCATGAAGCATGTGAAGGTGAATGAGTGGTCAAAGAAGGATTCATCACCTCAAGTGATATGAGGGGATGTATCTCACTTGTTTTCAATTCTTGATTAACTTGTATAAAGTTTTTGTGCAAAGCATGATGAATTTGAGGAAAGTTAGTTTTCTAAATTTATAAAGTTAGTTATGAATTATGAGAACTAATAGAATGTTATAAGTAGACACTGAGCAATGCTTTATGATATACTCGGGATATTTGATGAAAGGATCGTGTTGCACTAAGAAGTTTATCACTAAAAGGCTTTGTCAAATTCTCTAATTGACTCTTTAACATTTGGGTAGTCATGATGTATTACTAGATATCACTCATAATCTATAAATATAAATCACTTATCAAATTGTTATTTGATTAACATTTATATTTATTGCCAATATGTTAAAAGCCTAATAGGTCACACACATTAAGTGACATGATCTGGATTAAATAAAGATAATTGATTAAGTTGGACTTAATTAGAATAGATCAAAATAAAATGAGAAATTTATTAAGTTCACAAAGACTTAATTAAATTAAAATACAATTATTGTATTTACGGTTACAACTTAGTTTAGTTATATAAATATATTATGTTAGCAAACTAAAACTCTAAGCTTCTAGTTACTTCTCAATCGTTTCATAAAATAAGAAAAAAATAGTTTTCTTCATCTTACAAAACTAAGATTCAACAATGATCTTTTTGTTTTAGAAACAAAACTTACTAGAATAAGTTTAAAAAAAATCATACTTTGAGAAGGTCTTATTCGGTCATTGTGTGGATTACAATTAGAGACTAAATATTTGGGTGGCTGAAGATTTGATAAATCCTAAAAGTGAATAAGCAAAGATTTTGGATTTAATTAGCTCTTAATTATAATATCTAGAGTGAGGTATATAACTCTTAAACTTATAAATGTTTATAATTAATTTGAAAGTTACATGAAAAACATGAACATTAATCTTGTAAGATTCGATTGTTTTGTTTGATTAAATACTAGTTTTTTTTTTTGTTACGTTATATTTAATTTCTTGATGATTTTCATGTTTGAGCATGAGGTCAAATCCCAGCATTTTCATCCAAAGAGTTCTTGATCCTTTGTTGTGTTGGCTTTATTAGTTGTTGATGATAATAAAACATTCTCATTTATTTGTGTCTAACTTTTCTACTTAAGTGAGCAGAAAAAAAATGTATGTTAAACAATAAATTAATTATTCAAAAGTAAATATCAAAACTTATAAGAATAAGGAGCTACAATTGAGCAATAAAACAGAAACTTTTTAGTCGGATAATCAAGGGAGTTAGTTGGATAAAATTCAAAAGTGAAGTTGATGGGTTCAAGCAGATTGTGAGACAGAGAACACTTAGTCTACCAAGAGACATTATTAGTCGACTAAGAGCTTACTGCTAGAAACTGGGTTCAAAGACAGAAATGACTTAATCGACCAACAAGGATTGTTAGTCAATTAAGAGCTCACTGTCAGAAGTTGGGATCAGAAGACAAAAACAACTTAATCGACTAAGAAGCATGTTAGTCAACTAAGAGCATTCTGTTTGAAAGTTTGAATTTGAATGCTGAAAGATAGATTAATGGCTAGAACTGTCTTCAAACTGTTTCTAATAGTCTGATTCTGTTTAACACCCATCAAAGTTTATTTTTCAAGTATATAAGGCACTCCCAACAGCTATGAATGTTTTTTGAAGGCTTCCAAGATCAAAAAGAGCTCAAAATAGCGAAAACTCTCTCCATACTTTCTGCACTTCACTCCAATCCTTATAATAGAATTAAGTACTTCATTTTGTACCATTCAGATTAGGTTAGTGATCATAGGTACTTATAGTGTGTGAGTCATTCTAAGGGGATTGATCAAGCTTGGGTTAGTTTGATTGAGTGTATAGGTTCTAACTTAGTCTAGAAAATTTAGTTTTGGGTTTTGGTTAATCCTAAGAAAAATTATTATTAAAGGTTGTGGCTGAACCTGCGACAAGCTATTGT